GATGCAAAGCAAAAGACATGGGATATAAACAGTGGCTGTAAAATTGTGGCTTGGGAGGGAAAGGAGTTCCATATGCAACTCAACCTCTTCCTCTTAATTGTACCCACCACAAGCTTAACTCTTATTAGTGTACACTGTTCACAGTGCAGATTTTTAATTGTCCGGTAAAATACAAATATCTGAGACTTGAGTGATTCTGTGCCTGGAGTTTCTAATTGGGGTTATGGACTGTCACTAAATAAAGACATCATTTGAAGCTAATACTACAATTAATTTCTTTTTTCAAAATTGCTTTTCTTTTCCTTTTCATTTATGTATGTGTGGTATTTGTGTGTACATGTGCTCATGTGTGTCGGTGTGCATGTGTATGCAGGGCATGTGGACATGTGTGCATGTGTGTGGAGGCTGAATTTGGGAATCTTTCATGTTCCATTTTTCTCCTCTCTCATCGAGGCAGTTCTCAGGTGAACCTAGAGCTCACTGATAGGAATAGGTTAGGCAGCCAACTTACTTGGTCTCTGCCTTTCCTGAGCTAGAATTATAGTTGGGCTACCACACCAACTTTGGAAGCTGCTAAGCCATCTCCCTAGTACCTATCATTAATTTCTTAGCGCTACACTTGTCTGATATTGACAATATGGTGTGCTGTTATCCATCATAACTTGGTGAAGACACTTGCAGCCAGAGACTCTGTAATCATGCCTGATCAGCTCTCCCATTGACAGATTGGAACGTCTGGGGAAAGAATACCATTTCTAGAATGGACATAGTATGGTTAGCCTCAAGATATGCTCAGCTTGGGGCTGGAGAGATGGCCCAGTGGTTAAGAACACTGACTTTTCTGGCAGAAGACCCGGATTTGAATGAATCCCAGCACCCACACGGCAGCTAACAATTGTCTGAAACTCCAGTTCTAGGGACTCCTACAGCCTTTTTTCTGTTCTCCGTGGGCATTGCACAAGGTGGGTGCACTTATATACATGCATATACATAAAATAATAAATAAAATATCAAAAAAAGAGATATGTTCAGCTGAAGAGAGAGCTGGTCTTTTAGTATGAATAGTCTGGCTTTATTCTAGTATGGCTATTCACAAAATAGTTTAAATATTTATTTGTATTTATTATTTTTATTTTATATGTATGAGTGTATTGCCTGCATGTGTGTAAGTGCACCCATGTCATGCACTGCCCACAGAGGTCAGAAGAGGGTGTCGGGTGCTCTGGAACTGGAGTTGCAGATGGTTGTTAGCCACCATGTGGGTGCTGGGAACTGAACCTGGGTCCTCTGCAAAAGTAGCCAGTGCTCTTGAGTGCCGAGCCATTTCTCCACCCCCCTCATTTAAAGAGTGAAGCATGGTACTAAGTAATAGTGATGTGCATTATGAACAAACTCCAAATAAAGAAATGCTGATCTGAAAATGTGATATTTTTTTGTTGGTGGAGAAATAAACTATTTATAATTTTTCTTATGATGTTTCATTGACATATGGTGCTGCTAACCAAGTGACAAATTAATTGACTAGGTTTAAAGAGAAATGGATGTGGCTTAATGAAGAAGGACAGGATATGTATTATGAGGCAGCTGGTTCTGCCGCTGCTGGCTTATGGAGACAATATACATCGGACAGCTAATGAGTCTCTGTTGCATAAGATAGATTCTCTTTATAATAGAATTGCATGCTTTGTCTCTAAATGGGGTTATTATACACACCATTGCACAATGCTTGAAGAGCTTGGTTGGCCCTTGTAGAGGGTTAGGAGAGAAATAAATTGGAAGACAATCGTACTTAAGACTGTCAATCCATCAAACACTCCATATTTATCTAAATTACCAACACGTTCTCCCAAAATACAAATTTGGATGATACGCACGCCTAGAGTGTTAATGATGACCAGACGTCACATTGGTTTCACCAGTCAGGTTTTCCTTTGTAAGCACAGATCAAAATTCACAATGAAACTTGGCAGTTCCTTCCCAGAGCCACCTGCCACAGCCACTGCTCTTCCTGTATCCCACTGCATAGTACCTGAAGTTTTGCTTAGCATCCCTTCCACCCACCATGAACACACACATGTACGCACGTGAACACACACACACACACACACACATCACTTCTGGGTTATTTAATTCTCAGAGTTCTAGATTTGTATACTCAGAATTTAATAGAAATGACTTCTGTTTCTTCACTTTCTCCTGTGGACCCTCATTGTTCAGCTGCTCAGCTCTTCTTTAGAATAAATCCATTTCAATTCATTTCATAACCTTGAAAAACAGAACTGGATGTGATAAAATTGAATGATAGTGTCATTTATTCTGCATCAAAAGATGGTACTTTTTGTACCTGAATTTTGTAGTTCAATTTGTTCCAGATTTTAAAAATATTTTCTCATTCTTATTTTATTTTATTCTATTTTATGTGTACAAGTGTATTGCCTGCATATATGTGAGTGTACCTGTGTTGTGCAATGCCCACAGAGGTCAGAAGAGGGTGTTGGATCCTCTAGAACTGGAGTTACAGACAGTTGTTAGCTGCCATATGGGTGCTGGGAACTGAACCCAGATCCTCTGCAAGAGCTACCAGTGCTCTTAACCACTGAGCCATCTCTGCAGCCCCTGATCCACATTTTTTTTCCTCAGGGCAATAGTGTGTTTTCAAGCATGGGAATAATGATTCTTGGGTATAACATAACTATGTACTTGCCAAGACAATGTTTGGTTCTCCCAAACTTTCTTCTCTGCGTGTCCCTGCTCCCATCCTACCATAAGTAACTGAAAAGCATTATACCTGGGGAACCATTTCGTGGTTCTTGGAGTAAGATGGTCTTTTCAGCTTAAGATAGCATTCTGTCCCAAGCTAGATCGCTCCCTCTTCACCATTGTGGGTCCTTTGCTTTTCAAGTCTCTCTGTACTCCGAAAGAAAGAAAGGTGAATGGAAAGAAGTGGACAAAACAGTTTCATAGGCTTCTTCGCATCCGTATTAGCCTCTTCAAATTGAATCTTGAAGCCTTGTCAGAAGTGTTATTTTTCCAACAGAGCAGGCGTTAAGAGGCTATAGAAAATAAACTCACCTCCTGATGTCTTTCCCTGAGCTTGCTACATCCATTTACTCTGAAGATTATATTGTAAAGTGTGACAGGAGGGTTATCTGACAAAGGGAAATCACCACTGTCTAATTCTATTTGTGTTTTCCTTAGTGTGGACTTCTGGGATTCCTTGTTATTTTCAGAATCACTTCTTACATGGCAGTTTTTTGTTTTGTTTATTTTTCCAGAAGCATAATTCCAGTCAACTAATTTTTAAAGCTGCAAACACTCTTCTGAAGGTTGAGCTATGTTTTGTTTGTTTGTTTGTTTGTTTTTGTAATAAAGTTTCCTTAATTTGGCCAGGGAAAAAGAAAAATTAAAGCAAATCATGACAATGCCTAGATAATGAAATTTTACCATTTTTTAAAAAGGATTTTATGTGCTCTGGCAAATTAGATTGTTTGATGACAGTGCCAAGGTTACATAGCTCTAGGTAGAAATTAGTTTCCATTTGACTAAATGTTTCATTTAATGCGAGGGCTTGTACTTTTCATAGTTTTTCCTTTAACATAACTACCTCCAGGAAATCAGAGTGCTCAGAGCCCAATGAGCACACACACCAGTCTTTATCAATGCTTGTTAAATTTATTGCATGGTACAGATAGGCAAGTCTAGAACCAGGATGTGAGGCTTTTGGAAATAAATCTTTGGTCATATGGAATATCTTTAGTTTCGGGATCTGAAAATGCATTACCAGCAATTAGAGCCTGGGCTACACATGAGAATTCCGTATTGCTTAGTGTTTGAATCAAGCTATGAAAGGCTCATGCGCTGTGGTTCTTAGGAAATTCTCTCAATTCTGTAAATTTGCTTATTCTCATTTTCCTTTATATCCATCTCTTGAGCCAGTTCCAGATCTCGTTTCTTCTTGTCTCATAGTATTCCTGGAGGGACTCGCTTTCTTTGCCTCCTTCAAATTTGTTCTTCGGAGTGTTTGATGCTTGCAACCCATCAGGGTGACACTGGGTGGTGTCGTAACAATCTGCCACAAAGTTTTCTGCAGTTCTCTGGTTTCTTCTCTTTACTTGGTTTGAAGATCACTCAGATCATCTCTACTGCTTTTAAAGAATTGCCTTGCTTCGGCTGGGGCAGGTCGGTCACCCTCATTTTCTTTCTCTGCTCTCTTCCATACCCACCCCTTTTACTCCTGTTCTCCCAAAGATTTGACTGCTCAGATCTAGCTTTTCCCTTACTTCCCAACCCTGGGCTGAATTTTAAGCTCTTTTCCCAGATATGCCACACAGCCTAGGCTCAGTGTAACCTCATCTTCTGCTTGGCAACCTCTGGGACATCTGCTCCTCTTTTAGACTTCCTTCATCAGCATCACCCTCCTCTCCTCCATGTAGGGAATGGCAACAGAGTTTGTAGTTATCTTGGCTCTTCCTCTTCCTCACTTCCCCAAACCCACCGATTCTACCCCTGTAATGTCTTTACATTTATTACCTTCCATCTAAGGTGCCTGAGATTCACACCTTTCCACATCTTTTGTCTGCACTGAGGCCTTGGACCAGTTTTCTCCCTTTACATGATGCTTCTGCTGGCCCTTTTCTTTTGAAGATGACCCAGGCCTTCTCATCCCTGGCTCCCAACTACCTGAAAGATATAGTGCCCAACATAGCCTAGACTCACCTCATGAGCCTCTCTCCTTTCACCAGCTGCAGTGAAAGGATCTTATAGCACTGCCCTGTAGTCACATGTCCATGCAGAGAGGGTATTGTTATTTGAATCCAAGTGCTAGGAACATTCTAGTCTCTGATAGGGGCTGATGTATCAACTATGGAGTGAATGTAATCAGTGCACAGCCTCAAAATAGTTTAGAAGTTTCCAGAACCATCTTGGCTGTATGGCGAAAGTCACTTTCTTTGCTTGGGTGGGGCTGCTTAATCTCTACTCTGGGTTATGTTTTCCCCCAGGAAAAGGAGAAACTGTATGTGGAACTGAAGCACATCTTGGCCCGGCAGCCTGGCCCTGAGGCTGCAGAGCAGCTGCTCATCTATCGGCACACACTGCGGGAGAAGACCAAGCAGCTTAAAGTAAGTGGCAGGCCAGGCTCTGCTCTTGGCAGTTAGAAGGACAACTACATTGCAGACACCCCCGAACTGGTCTAAGCCTCAGCTCAGTAAGTCCATCTACCACCTGCCACATTCCACCAAGTCAACTTTCATAGAGGTCATTAAACTCTATTGGCTCCCATTTCCAAACCAAGGGGTTTAAGCGCATAAGGAATGCGCTGAGAAAGGACAGACGCAATCCAGTGGAGGTTTGGGGGACAGGGTTTGCATGGATGATCACAAGATGATTTAGATAGCTCAGATGTTAGAGACGGGGACATTCAATACCACTGCTCAACCAAAGCAGATCACTGCGCCAAAGCTGGTTTCTGATATGCCTTTCTACTACACACACACACACACACACACGCACGCACGCAAGCACACGCACACATGCACGCGCACACACACGCACGCATGCATGCGCACACACCCGTACACACACACGCACACACACATGTGCACTCACGCACGCACACATCCATGAAGTTTTGCACAGGTCAGTTGACTTCTTGCCCTTAACTGTCCAAGGAGGGTGGTAATCCTTGCATTCTGAATGGGGTAAAATAGATACCATCCTACTAAAATAGCCTTATCCCTTAAAACAACAACAACAACCGAAAAAACCAAAGAGAGACATAATTTGAGTTTTGCAAAAGGCACACACTTTTGATTACCTTTGTTCCTTGGAACAATTGCATAAGTTCAACAACAACAAAAATATTTTCTTCTTGTTTTCTTGGGGTGAGTATAAATTAGAGAAGTATATATTTGTTTTCTCTTAGCTACTCTTAGCTCTGGATAGCCCTAAATGGCTTCTTGAGGGGTGTTCTGTTACTGTAATCCTTATTCCAGGAAACCCTTGTTTTCAGCTCAGAATGAAGTGAACACCTTTCAGCCGAGGTTCTGAGGTAGAGAGAAGGGGGACGTACTCTGAGTTCTCAAAACAGAGTCTTTCTTCCTAAGATCTGACTGTTAAGACAGATTTTCTTTCTACATGACACTCATGTTCTTTAGCTCAGCCCGCATGGTCACTGTCATTTTCACAATTAAAAGGAAAGTGTTCACAAGCAGATGAACATGCAGAAAGATGAAGATCTCCTTTTTAATGCAAAATTTTAATATAGAGAGTCATGCCATTTATCACAGTAGCCTGCATTTCATGGTCTGGGTTTTGGTGACTTTATGCTCTGTTTGGATGGGTGATGCTGTCCTCATGTGCTGCTCACATCCGATAGCATCCATTGAACCCAGCCAGGAGAGAGGTGGGGTCAGGCTTCTTATAACAGCCTGTCTTGCATTAGGCCCTCCTAGGCATGTGCTCCCTGCTTATTATAGCTAAAGTGTTCCAGTGCTAGATACAGAAAGAACCTGTGAGTGGTTCAAAAGACTGCAATAAGGATGGTAGACATTTAGCAGGACAACCACCCTGGCAAACCTCAAATTGAATGCCTCCCTTGTGGTGAGATGATTTCAGAAAGATTCTCACCATAATCCTCAGATGGATTGTACTTCCTAGGGATCATTTTTCTTGAAGATTTTTTTTAAAAGGCTAAAAGGGATTTTAGACACATGTCGGAGAAATCTTTCGTCTTCACTCACAATATTCCTTGAAACACATTACTGTTCATCTGAGCCTGCTTGAAGGTTGCTGCTGGCTCTTCTTTTAAGCAAGGAAGGAGGTTTCATTTACAGTATCACTTGTTTACGAGTTGTCAGTCCTCTGCCAGGTTTTTGCCCAGGTATGGGCCTTGAACCTGTGGAAGCATGCTGATTAGCTATTAAATCTGGGCACTGGTCTGCAGCTGTCCCCCCAGATGCACGGTAGCAGGTCAAAGCATATGGTTCAGAAAAAGATAGCGCTCCCTGCATGTCCTTTGCTAATATTGCTTTGTCTGCCATGCTAGGTTTTGTCATCAGAACTGAACATGTATGAATCACAGAGCCAGGAGTACAAGTATGAGATCGAGAGGCTGGGCAATGAACTGGTGAATTTAAAGAAGAAATACCTGGCTCAGAAACGTAGAGAACTCATTCAGAAGTAAGAATCAGTCAAACGTCCTAATTTTGTGGCACCTAATCATAAGAGAATGGTTGATGAATAGTCACCGAGCTGCCAATTTCGGTAGGGTTAATGGAGTCCCAGGGTGAACAAACAGAAGTTCCTATCACAGCAAGGTCTTTGTCTCATTTGATACTGAGTCCTCTTCCCTTAGGACCCTACCAGGGATCCACAAATACTGACTCATTGCTGAACTGACTATGGGGCAGACAGAACACTGCTTCACACACTGTGCTCATGATTTGGAGATGACCAAGCCATAACTGCTTTCAGATGAGCTTATCCACAATTAACCCCACACAGTTTTGCTGGGGATCAGTACTTCGTAAGGCTGTTCTCATAATGCAGTGTTGCCACTGCGATTATGAACACTTCCTGTATTGTAGGCACAAGTATCGCTGAACATCCACGTTTGGTAACTGACTTCAGTACCTGTGGTGGATTGCTGACATCAGCTCCTTTTTCAAGAGATGAGACTATGAGGATGATGTTTAGGGTTTCGGGTGCCACCATGCCAACAAGTAAATGTTCCCTTTGCTTTGCCATTGTCATTTGCCCAGATGAATCAGAAGGCTTGAAACTTGGTCTGACTGTGTGCCCTTGTCAAAATTAATCCAGCTATATTTAGTGATTCCCATTATGGGTTGAAAGTCATATTTGGAATTTCATCTGCACGGGCCTCTCAGGGATATGCTGAAATATGGTTTGAGTGCATCTGTCTGTGATCCTTTAGTGGCAAACAGCATATAAAGTAACTGAATGCAAATTCATTTGCCAGTAAAAATCTGCCCTTCTTGTAAATCAGAATATTCCCCTGGTTCACATTTACATGCCAACTTCTTGGTGGAGTAAAATAGTGCTATGATTTAGTTAAGTCTGTCTTAGTGTGTGGGTCTAGTAACTATCTGAATGTCTTGTGAGATTTATTAAACATGCAGGTTCACAGGCCCCATTTCTAGATATTTGGACTTAGCTTCACAAATCTGCAACTTAACAAATCCCCCCTCCCCGGGGTGGGAGGCAGAATGTGTGGTTTCCACACACATTGAAGTTTCAGAACCATGAGAGCAATAGTAGTGAAATAAAGGAATCATGAAGTGGTGACATTAGGGTAAACTAAGTCACAGGATGAGCAACCAGAGGTTCACATCACAGCAAGATCGGTAGCTGGAGGCTGTGCTTATAGAATAGCAGAATGGCTCATTCCCTTATAAGGGAGGTGTTGAGCTCCATGGTCTTCAAGCCTTTTGAACTCATGTCTTGATCAATAAAAGATTCTTGAAATTGTAGTGCACACACACACACACACACACACACACACACACTTTGTTGTTGTTGGGTTTTTAAAATTTTTTTTATTTGGTTTATTTGAGACAGGCTCTCCCTGTAGCCACAACTGGCCTGGAACTCACTATATAGACCAGGATGACCTTGATCTCACAGAGATCAACTTGCCTCTGCCCCCTAAGTACTGGGATTAAAGGCATGTGCCACCACACCTGGCATACACACACACACACACACACACACACAAACACACACAAATGAAAATTTCATTTTCAAGTGATTTTTAGATGTACCTTCAGTATGTTTTAAAGATTGCACACATACTCTTGTCATTTTGTAACAAGAAAAACCCAATGCTTACTTTTAAAGTTATTTTTATTTTACCTATATGAGTGTTGTGTGTGTGTGTGTGTGTGTGTGTGTGTGTGTGCATGAAATGCCCTCAGAATCCAGAAGAAGGCATTGGATTCTCTGGAACTGGAGTTAAGGACAGTTGTTAGCTGCCATCTTGGTGCTTTGGCTAGGGTTTGACTTAATGTTGTTTTAAAAATATTTGAAGTTACATTTATTTATTTATTGTGTATGTATGTGTGGAGGGGTGTGGGTATGGATGTGTGTGTGAGCATGCCATGGTATAAGTATGAAGTCAGAGGACAACTTGTGGGAGTCAATTCTCTCCTTCCATCATGTAGGTCCCAGGGATCAACTTCAGGTCATCAGACTGGCTGCAAGCGCTTTACCCACTGAGTCATCTCACTGGCCCCTCACCTAATGCTCTTTGACCTTACTGAGTATCCCAAGATGCAGGCAGCAGGATGATCTATCTGCCCTTTGTGGCTTAGCCCATCTCAGTGCTGCTCCCTTGTGCCACTTGTGGTTCATTAAATTGAAATGAATGACCATTACGTGAAGCTAAAATCCTGTGCCTCAGTTGCACTAGCTGCATTTCAAGTGCTTAGTATCACACACATCCAGTGGCTGGCTGTGGAGCCCTTTCCTGTACTGCAGCAGGATTGCTTGTGCAATGCGGTCTTTGCCTCTACCTGTCTTCCTCTTGTCCTCAAATGCTCATCTCTCGCAGCCCTTCTGACCTGTGTAGGGCTTCACTGGTGGTTCCATCTAGTTGAGGCACCCATACACCGGTGGAAACTGAGAAGAGTTCATAGGCGCCCAGCAAAAAAGATTAAGGTGCTGAAGAAGAATATGCAAAAGCAAGAACAAAAGTGCTGAGACGGTTTAGCCTGGAAGGAAGAAGACTGCAGGGAGTCCTAATGGTCTACAAATACATTTAAAGGATAATGTAGAGGAGACAATATTCCCATTAGTCAGCTTAGACCAAGCCAGAAGCATTACACTTAAGTTCCTTCAGAAAGGAAAATTTAGGTTATTTAAGGCCAGAGAGTGCAGGGGAAGGGGGAATGAGGGCTGCCTGCCTCTCACACCAATCCAGAGCGAGACAAGTTGCCAGAGTATGGGAAGGAATCCTCTTTGCTGGATCCACTCAGTGCTAAAGCTTTTGTCCTATTTAGGGAGGATGGGTTTTTCACAGTAATGAAATCAGTTCTGCTAAGGGACAGCTGGGTTGATTAACCAATCCTCTGCCAGTTCTTTCTAGGTGGAGTCACCCAGAGTCCTCCCTCTAGATGCTCTCCACACGCCCTTTAGCAGCTCCGATCACTGTTACCTTTTGGCTTCTTCCACTTTTCTAAGCACACTTTTCATTACTCGTTAGTCCTGCCTACGTCCCACCACCCCTGACTGCTCCAGTCTCCACTGTCTAAGCTGGTCTCTAGTTTGCAGGATCAGATTCCTTCCCAAAAGGCAGAATTCATTCCTCTACAATCAATCATTTGTAGTTGGTCTATCTAATCAATTTTGATCTTAGCTATTTGCTTAATTTTTGTTTTCTGTAAGAGCCTTTGCGATAGGTAATTTGTGTAAACATAAGTTACCTCTGCAGGAAACCTAAGAGTGTGTGTGTGTGTGTTTGTGCTGTGTGTGTGTGTTTAAAATAGATCTATATGGAAAATACACTGTAGATTTTCAGTTATAAGCCCTTTTACCAAAACACCTAGATTTTTCTTGTATCTTCAACTAGTTTTAGGAATTTCTCCTGCTTGTCTGGAGTTACAGGAAAATTTGTATTTTACACATGTCCAAGTTTTGTGAAGATACTTTATGTATAGTAAATATTTCTAAGTTTCCTCTGGAACTTGGAAATGTATTCGGCGATAAATGATGATTTAGTCATTATAATTGAGCCAAAAGAAAGATTCTTCTCACTGATCTTTGGAACTAAACACACGTTTTTAAAACAGGAAGATCATTACAAGTCAGAAGGCACCAGGTTCTCAATGTTTGAGCTGTAATGAGGTCCTCTGTCCATATTTAGATCACCACTAGCAGAGCATATTTCACATCTAATTGTCTTCCCATAATTCTACATGCTATCAACAAACAGCTAATTAGATTTACACAGCCACCTTCTCTAAAACTAGAAGCTTTAATCAGTTGTTTTCAGTAGCTAGCTTACCCTAGGAACTTACAGAATATCAAACTTAGAAGAGGAAAAAGATGTTGGGGAAGCTAATTGCCTCTTCCTTTCTTACAGAAACAAGGACAAAATATCCATGAATAACACTTTTGCAATGACCAAGGAAACTGGCCCTCGTTTTGCTGGGGGTGGATTTCCCCTCAATCAGACATCCAAGGTGAAGTTGTAACTGGAAGCAGCTGGAAAAATCAGGTTCAACAGATCAAGAAATTTGCTCTGGAACTTTGTGGAGGAATCTCTTTTAAATCCCTCAGATAACATACAGGAAAAGCTAGTGCCTGGATTCCAGATTGGAAAGGAATGGACAGTTATCGAGTCATGTACATTTAGGAGTGATGATGTCTTACCTGAACCACATGGACCTTAACAGACTATAATTCTAGCTCTTCAGTTAGGCTGGTCCTTGGCACAAAGCAGATCTTTTGTTACAACCACGTCGACTGATTTGACTAGTAATTTCCTATTATTGGTATTTGTGTACTTGGAGGTTTTTTATGTAAAAATATTTTTTGAAAAGCAATGCATTCCCTCTCATCTTATTAATAGGAATCTATTTTAATTATTCCTCATTAACAAGTCATTGAAGGAGACGAGAAGGGGCACACTCCTAGGATTTAAAAAGTATTTTGAGAGTGATTTCCACTTGGGATTCCATTTTGGGTCTGGGGTAGGAAAACCTATTCCAAAGAGAATTGCCAATAAATACCTCATCATAAAAAACAATCTTTGTAGATATTTTGATTCTTGTTTTGCTAGAGCTTATAATTAAAGTTTAAAACTACCATTAGAAACATTTAATATAAGGATTTGATTCAAAGGAACCAAGACTTTAAAATGAAGGGACTGGCTGGTATCCTTTGGAGACCTCATGCTTGAGAACAGATCTCCTTGGCTCTCAAGCTGTCAGACAGCACTTAGAGCCATTAAATCCATTGTGTTTTCCTTTTGTTGAAGCCACAATTATGTGGGTTTCAGTTCACAGTTTCCTCCTTAAGTTCTCACTCAGTAATATTGTGGCCATCTCTTACAATAACTTGATCTCTGCAATTTTTTAAAAATTATTGAGGAGGTAGTAACAAGAGTAAGTGAATCATTAGAACAGTCCATTTGTGCTAAGTGACAGTGAGTCCCATTGTCAAAAGCAAGGATAGTAAGGACCCAAGATGTTTGTTCAGACTGTACAGGGAGATAGGACTTAGTGGAATCTTCTGGATGTCCTGTGGCCCTGTCAGTCCATCAAGGCTGGTGCTATTGCTCAGGTAGCATCTGTAGAAGCTGACCAATGACAGAGAAGGACGTGGGAGTGAATTACTATGCTATGCATTGATTCCCCAAATCAGGTAAGAGAGCAGAGCAGTGAACAGCAAAGGAAAAAAGGCCGAACAAAGGTGCCATGTACAGTCAAGTTCCATGATGGGAGACTTTGGCTCCAGCTTTCCGGGAGCTCTGAAGACATAGTTCTACCATCCAGACTAGAAAACTGGGGGTCTTAAGTCTTAATTCATGTCAGTCCATGGCTAAGGACTGCTCTAGAGGGACCATTCTGGATTTCTTTACCTCGAGGCAAAACAGACCTTTGCAGTTCAGTGGCATCGCCGGGCCGAAAAGACAGTAAGTGTTGACTATTGGAAGGGAAAGTGGTGGAGAGATCAAGGGGACATGGGTGAGGTGGTGTTATCCTCTGCTGTTCTCTGATATGAACCCAGGGTAAGAACTGTACAGTTAAAAAGCGACCTCCAGTGAGTGTGGTGACCTTGCGGTAAGAAGTGAGCCTTAGCTCTCTGAGTATCACTCAGGAATATAGAGGATGGGGATGTCCTGTAGAGAATTTAACAAAAGGCTTTCAAAGCTGAAAAATCACAGTAGAAGCTGGATGTGGTGGTACATGTTTGTACTCCCAACACTCGGGAGGTAGAGGCAGGAGGATCAGGAGTTCAAAGTCAGCCCTGACTACATGGCCAGTTGGAAGCCACCCTGGGTTACAAGAGACATTGTTTAAAAAACAAACAAAGGAGTTAATCACAGTAGAGTCAGATGAGGTGGTACATTCCTATAATTGCTGTACCTGTAGGCAGAAACAGGAAGACCACAAGTTCAAGCTCAGTCTTGGAAAATTAGGGAGACCCTGTTTCACAATAAAAAGTTAAAAATGGGCTGGAATATTCAGCCTCCCATGAGCAAGACTCTATGTTTAATCCCCCAGTACTGAAAAAAATCACAGTGGGACCATTTCCATTTCTGAAAAATTGTTGATGATATTTTCCCTCAGTTAGCTATGTTGGCTGGAGGTTTCCTTATATATATGCAGAGACATTTTCTGTCATGACCAACTTCATTCTGAATCCTTGGTGGATGCTATGAGGTTAACTTGTTCCACAGAGTGGAGCTTGTGATTCTTGATTTGTCCCAGAATGACAGAGACTCCAGAGACAGCTGTTGGGTTCACAGCTTGACTCGTTGTAACCATGGGTGTTCTGAAGATTGACTGAGTTAAGGCCTGCCAGCTGATAGCAGCATTGGGCATATAGTGAGCCTCACATATAATATATATCTGCCATTGTTAGTGATCAAGGAATAGCTGATGTTTGGAATCAGAGAAAAAAAGTTGCTGCATAATCCTTATCAACTGTAAAAGTGATTCTAAAAATCACGTAGAGGGTAGATGACATTCAAATATCTGGATGAAGCTTGATTTGATAATGCTATTTATAACTACATTGTGTGTCTTGTAAGACTTCTATGTATTGTTAATAATGTACAGAGGAAGGTGATCTCTCACCTTCAGAAGTCAGAGTTTTCTGACTTTTTTCAGTTACTAGAGGGAAAGGCCACAATGATGTCTGCTACTTTTCTCTTCTGCTTTTTGCTGTTCAAGGGAGCCAGGTGGTCAGCCTGTATCACCAACAGGAATCCTATGAGCCAGGATGGAAGAAGGCTCTGGGAGCTGATATGCAACTCCATTAGATTCTGTGTGCTAATGTTCAAACGGAGGAGTGAGTTAAGGTTGGATATGGTAGCAATCTCACTGCTGCCTCTCATTTCTGCACAGCCTGGCAGGGTACTATATGTAGGTACGCATGTCTCCACTGGAGCCATAGTACAAAAAAGAACCCTTAAAGACCCTGAGATTTGCAAAGCATTAACAGTAACCGTGAATTCACAGTGGGCCTCTATGCTTTTAAAATCACAAGTCTGCTCTGCATTATAAAGCAACACAAGGAGATTGTATGACAGTGTAATTTTACTCCTGGGTTTCCAGAGCTTCAGCTAGGAATCCTGTTGCTAAAACACCCATAGACTCCCTGCTGGGCTGATGGGGAGCCAGGGTGGTTTCTCTGTTAATAGGGAGATATGATAAAGGAGACTCCCTGGTCATCATTTGTTGATCGTTACTTCTCAGAAACTACTCTTATGGCCAGGCTTTTATTGTGCTTACTTCTGAAGAATTGCTCAGAGCAAAGGTTTGTTGCTATGATAAGCCATAGAGACGATGTTACTTATGCTGGGAAGACATGGCTGTTGTTCCCCTTGTCATGACAGTGGTTTTGCTAGAAAAATTTATCCAGCATTGATAATTATCATTTGATTTCCTGACTTGCTCAGATTTTGAAGTTCAGTCTAGGCTAGCACCCCCATAGGAGAATTCTGTGTGATGAATTTTGAGTGTAGAGGCATTTAAGAGGCAGGACAGTTTGAAAACCAGGACACCACCATTTCTGTAAACATGATCAATTATGAGGACACCTAGCTGGATTGGAGTAAAGGGAGGGCATTTTTAAATATTAAAATTGTAAAATAACACAATATATCTCACCATTTTCTTTGTAGTAGATGGAAAATATTTTTATAGCATTATCCATTTTTAACTTCTAATTCAATGCTGCTTTAGTAGACCATTTCTCCTATCTATTATTTAAAGTTTCCATTAGGGTTTTGAGATCCATTAGAATTTTATAACAGTAGGAAATGTCGTATCAACAGGGTACCATTCTTCTTTTTTATAATTAAAAATAGATTTTTCCTCTTATTTTAAACTACCTGATTGTTATAGGAAATTAGAAAGTAAGGATAAGCAAAAAGAAGAGAAAGGCCATCAATAATATCACCACCCATGGAGAACCCGAGTCTCCCTAGACTGGCTATCATCTCTGTCACCTGGGGCGTCTGTAGCAACTGTTCGCATCTGCCATTTGTCCTGACTGGTCAGGGCTTGGGCTGCCAAATTGTTGAATATTTTGAACATTATCTTTGAAATAGTACTGTTTTCTATTTCTGAATGTTATCTTTTTACATTTGAATATAAGCATACACAAACATAGACATAAATGTATAGCTTGATAAGGTTTAATGAGTGCCAGTGAACATTCACACATTGTACATGTGCACACATGCATGAGGAATCCAGAAGTCAAACTGGGGTATCATTTTTCAGGTGCTATGCACCTTGTTTTTTGAGACAGGATCTCTCACTGGCATAGGAACTAACTGAGTAGGCTAGACTGGCTGGTCAGTGAGCCCCAGGGATCCACCTGTCTCTATATCCCCAGCACTGGGATTATAAGCACATGCCACTGTGTGTTCTAGGGAGCTTAGGTTTTTGTGAATTCATGGTAAATACTTTACCAAACTATTTCCCCAATCTCATTAGTTGATAAACTTTAACAAGTGAAAAGGCCCAAATAACCACCACCCCCTTTTGCCCTTTGGCAAGTTAATATCTCCAGCCCTCTAACCAGCTTGATCAACAGTGGATCCCTGTTCATTATTATAGATTAGTTTTGTTTTTTTCTACAATATCATGTAAGTGGAATCATACACAATGAATTCTTTAGTACCTGGAATTTTAAAATGTAGTGTAGTACCGTTTGAGATCAACCATGTTGTGTGGATTAATAATTCATTCACTTTTATCACAGAGCAGTATTCTGTCATATGGAAATAACACAATTTGTTGGAGTTGTTGATGAGCAATCAAGTCATATCTGTATTTTAGTTATTAAGAATAAAGTTGCCACAAACATTCATATACAAGGCTTTATGTGGATGAGCATTATCATTTCTCTTGGGAACACGATCAAAGAATGGAATTGCTGGGTCCACAGTGAGGTATCTATTTAAGTTGATGAGATGCAGCCAGAGTGTTTTCCTGGTTGTACCATTCACGTTCCTACTCACAATGTGTGTGGACTCTAGTTGCTCTGTTACAACCCTGTCAATACTTTGCACTGTCAGTATTTTTCAAGTCATTCTATTATTATCATTTCTATTATTATTATTATTATTATTATTATTATTATTATTATTTATTTAGGTCTTTTTGAGACAGGGTCTCCCTGTACCCCAGCTGGCCTGGAACTCACTATGTACACCAGGCTGACCTTGAACTCACAGAGTGCCTGTCTCTACCTCCCAAGTGCTG